ATCGCATCGTGCATTCGCGCTAGAGGGGGTCCAACAGAGTATTAACTCCTCTGTTCTTTTGCCTTTTTCTCCGAAATAAATTATCCTTTTTCTTTGATTTTCTTATCATTTACTTATATCAAAGTAGTCATTATATATGTAAAATTTCGTTTCATTTTGACGACTCCTTCTTGGTGCACTAATTTTTTTATCCATGAGTGTAAATCTGAGAAAAAGTTCAAATATCGAAAAAAATAAATAATTAGTTAGATGAATAAAAATTAATAAAAAAATGAAATAAAAGCTGTACATTAAGAAAGTGTCATTCATCCAATTCTTAAGCTTTTCATGTAGGCACAAGGCTCACCAGCGACCAAGTGGTAAAAATGCTGAACACTGGTAGTTCGGTCCAAGGTTCAAATCTTGGTGGAAAGACTGACTGCATGGGCGCTTTCGTGGTTTTCTCCTTGCGTAACATGTTTACAAGCAAATTTCCTTTAAAACATCCTCCACGAACCATGCCTTCCTTTGACTTAGTGCCATTTCGTCCTTTCTCTTTTCATGCCGAGTTCGAAATAGTGTAATTTTGTCCGCTGCCATCCTCACTTATTCTGTTGTTCCTGTTTCATTCGCTGTTCGAAAAGTCACTTTATGATTAAGAAAAGATATAATCAGACGAAATGACCCTTACTACATTAACCTTTGAGTTCTAATACTTATTAAACATTTCCTTTAGATAAATTTATTCTGAGCAGAATAATCAATTTCAGGCATGTTCAAGAGGTGTGTTTTTGAATCTAATTCCATTTTTGTCATCACATACTTCTAACAAAATAGAACTATTGTTCCTCTGCTTTGACAGAAAATCAAAATGCAGCAAGTGTATCTAAGATGTACATGTTTTATTAAAAATATAGTGAGTCCTCTTTAAATGCAACCATTCACAGTTTTAAAGGATTTTGGTTGTAGATATGATGGTCTTAGAAATGTGATATTCACTGCAATGTTTGTTAATGTTCACAAAAAATACAGGTCTCTTTCAAAAGGCGACCTCTTAGAAACATCCTCAATAGATATAATTCACTATAATTATTTTCTAATGGATAATGGAATTAATTTAATCTAATGTCAGTTAGAAGACGGCTATTTACAATAGGAAGATTTAAAAGCACAATAACTGTAATTAAGAGCACTGTAATTTTTCTTTTACAATCAGCTGTTATATAAGATTATGTGTATTTTTCATGTTTTATAACTGATATCCGTACATCTTGAACAAATATACAGGAAATGCAAGACAAATTATTAAAAAAATTGCAATTTGAAACATTAATACTAATTTTCTATTACTATACATAATACTATTAATGAATGATGAATTTATATAATATGTATACTTAGCATCTTAAAACAATAAACTTTGAATCTGATGACTGTATATATTCATGTAGTTACAAAATTTTATTAGATGGTATATGCATAGTTCTTTGTAATCTTCATAAACTCTAATAAAATGCTACATTAGATTGAGATGATTGTACTACTTAAATTTGTAGATATGTTGACTTCTAAGAGTTGTTCCATCCCCCCCAAAATAAATAAATAAAATTAAAATCACTATTCCAAATTGCTGTAGTTGAAAGATTAAGAGGTTACACTTGGAATTCATTTTCTGACAGGGTGCCAGCTGACAGTTTTAATTTATTCAGAAATCTGAAAGAAAATATTTTTAGAAAATCGCCAAATTATACTTGTTACATTCAACAGGGCTTTCAATGAGAAATATGTTTAAACTTTGATAATAAGCTCAGTCTAAAGTAACGAATAAAATATCTCTTAGCGAAGTTTTCATTGTGCTTAACTGTTTTAATATTACCAAACTAAAAAGGAAGAAAATAAAATTCAAAGTGTTTTTTAATTAAAAAGTTAATAGTTTTAATAATAAAACATAATTATATTTAATCTCAGTCATATTACCTTAAAAATAGCAAGTGAGAAACTTAACTATGATATTTTTCATTTTCACATACACATACCAAAGTTAATAAATAATAAAATGCAATTTCAGATTTATCATCGAAATGTTATAGCTAATCAATCAGAGAGCAGAAAGTTTGCTTTCAACCTAATAAATGAAACAAATAAAGTAGTGATAAAATATACAAGCAAACATATATTTGAGACATTAAAATTCAAATCTGAATACTCCATTTATTATAATTAAAATTATAAATACATTTTACAGTAATAAAAAATAGGAGTCCCTTTTGATTATGTGCGCATTTATCAGCATGAGCTTATATCTATGTGAGCTTTTATCAATGTGCGCTTTCATTGCTGTGGGCATTTGTTGTGTGGGAAATTATCATAGTGGGCTTTTTTTTTTTTTTTTTGTGGGCTTTTGTCGTGTGATTTTGTTTGGGAACCCATTGTTCTAACATAGGTATTTTGACACAAAATCGGACTTTTCCTGAAATGAAATCACAATTTTTTTCAAATATTTCGCTTCTACGACTCAAATTCTGCCTAAATTTTAAATTTTGTAAAATTTGGTGTGAAATTTAAAAATTTACATTAGCCCATTTTTTTTTCTGTTTGCGAACTATTACCTTTTTTTCATTGCAGATGAGCGGGAAAAAAGTCATCGTTCATAGTTTTAAATAATTTTAACAAAGTGTGTAAACCATATTTGGCGTTATTATCGCTTATAACAAATATACCAGATTTTAAAACGCGCAGATATGTAAATTCACTCTATCCTAGGAAATTTTGAATAAAAACTCTAATTTTTTTCAGGTATGCTTAGAAATATATCTGCTTTAAGATGATGATAAAAATTTTATAGGTTATAAAAAAAAATCATAAAAATAATTTTAAAAGTAAACAATAAAAAATGGGTGAATTTTATTTGGAATGAACTTAAATTTCGAAATGTGAAAGGCAGAATCAAATAAATTTAATAAACAAAGAAATATTAATAAATATATACAAGATTCAATTAACATGGAGAAACTAAAATTTTGAGAGCTAATTTTTTGAAAAACCACTCGTGCGATTTTTACAGAACTAGGCAGTTTGGCATAATTTGAGTCGTATTAGACGAAATATGGGAAAAAATTGGCATGCCACTTCAGAGGAAGTATCGATATTAGTATCAAAATAGCATTGTTTCTAGAAAACAATCCGATTTTGACACTAATCATATTATCTAATACATATATTAATCTAATACATATCCTAAGTTGTGCTTTCGAGACATGAAAAACGCAAGTTGAATTTCATCAATCAGCCCAAATAGAACGGTCTTTTTTTGTTGTTATTGTGCAGTGTATTTGGGAACAAATTTCACACATATTTAATCAGTTTTGGTGCTTCCTACTTTTAGCTTAATATATTTTTTTATATTTTAGTTCCTGCCTGATTTTTCTCAATAATCTAAAAATGTTTCAAATTTATGTAACCTGAGCATGTTCTTTTTAAAAGAAAATGCGTGAAAGATAAGTCCACATTACACAAATCTGAATTTCAGAAGCTTAAAAATTTGGAATTCTGCCTTTATCCAAACCACAATCACCTGTTTCTGAGGAGGATACATATCACTTATGAAAGGACATACATATCTTTGACATGCCTGCCAACTTTTATAGTATTAACCAAATCACCCCATTTTTTAACTTTTTAACCTTTAAAGAAAATATTCCCCAGCAATATATGAAATTTGTTAAATTGTGTAAATCCATTCCTACACTTCGAGTGATCTTCAGAAGCTTCATGAAATGTGCAATAAGTTTATATTTGTTTTACATCAATAAACAGTACATTACTAAATTTATCTATAGGATAGTATGTACATCAATTATAATTATTTCTGCCATCGTATTTAAAAGTAATCCTTTCTTTGTATTTTCGAAGTATAAAATTATAAGAAAATTCCAAATTAAATTATCAAAAGAACAAAAGGTTTAATATACTTAAATAAAAATATGTTTTACATCACAATCATAAATAGTTCAATAACCTGAATAACACAAAAATAAAGTGAATTTTAAGTCAGTTTGGAATTCTTTTGAAATAACATCGTTTGTGCTGCACAAAAATCCCTTTTCATATTTTTAAGGTTAGCAGTTATGATGATTCAAAATGATGACAGCAAGAAGTTTTAAATACAGTTTACAAAACTTCAGCAGTGTGTATATAGTATACTACCAGTGCTGGATAAGAGATTATTCTTTTAGCAGAATATTGATAATAGGGTATAGGAAATTGCTTATTTTTTTATACATTTGCATTTCATGCTATCTGTCAACTGTAGTGGCAGCCCACCTTTTTAATTAATCACTAATAATATTTGTCAAAAAGATACTTATTTCACATATGCATAAGTGGGAAAACTTAACAATCAACCATTTCTATAATATTGCAGATGCAGTCTTTCAAGATGAGCTGAATATTCTACTCCCTGCAAAAATAAGGCATAGACGACTTGCCTCAGAGAAGAGAGAAGATCTAAGGGTGTAAAAAACTAGAAACCTGAGTAATGAATCCAATAGCTAGGAAGTTAAATGGTAAAAAGATCATCAACTTCATAATGAATTAATATATTATAGTTTCTCTCTGACTGTAGGATGGTATCTAAGTTATTCCAATACCTACATTACAACATAAAGCAAACATGGAAGGCAGGAAACTAAACCCAACTTTGTGCAATACTAAACTTTAACAACTAAAATTTTTATTGTAAAAATATTCAGACATTCCTCATATCCTATGTTTAAATTAAAAAGGAAGAATACCAACAAGGTTAAGAAATCTGCCAAATAGAAAATAAACACAAATGAGATTCAGAATGTATTTATAATAGCAAGTAATTAGCTGAAAAATCTGCTTAAATATTTATGCAGAAATTACCAAATTTATTATATATTTTTATGCTTTTGTTGAAAGTAATCCATCAGTCATTATTATTAAGCAAAGTATACTTCAGAAGATACTGGTGTAAGATAAAGAAAGCAGAAACCAAATAAACATTTTAAAAAGATTTATTTCAGTATTTATAATATATATTTATACATATATACTTCATTTATGGACAGTAACTCAAGATTTGTATAAAAAAAGACATCAGATAGCATACAAATCAAATGGTTCTGTTTATACAAGCAATTTCATGTTCATTTTTTGGCTTGTTTGCAATTTTAGAAAATAGAAAGCTAATAGTATAAATGAATGATTCAATATTCTAAAATTTATTATTAAAACTAGGCATGCAATGATTTATTTAATAATTTTCAGTTATGGTTAATATAATTATTTTCATTTTCAGAAATTATAGTTATAAAATGACTGAATACAAAAGAAAGTTTTAGATACTCACATGCAATTCAACATTTCAAAAAGAATGTTTTAGATTTCACATTCTGCACATACATTTAAAATTTTGAATATGTAAAACAATTTTTGCAATTAATTATATGAATTACAAAATCAAGAATATGTTCAAGGGCTTTGTGAGCCGTCTAATTCTTAATATATATTATTATGATGTGATTTATAATAAAAAAGATCACCTGAGAAAAACATGAATATCAAAATGTCTCGACAGAGAGAAAGAACTAAAAAAGCAGACTAGACAAGTAAAATATATATATCGTTTAATATAAATGTTTGGTTTCAAACTTTCAGAATAAATTTTTAAATAAAAATTTTTACATGGCCTTTCCAAGTGAAAGCACAATTTTTCATATCAGTGTCACATGGTAGTAAACAGTGTTTGAAGCTTGAAATTCATAATTTCCTACTTTTATAAAATTTCATAGATGCCCAGTTTTGCACAGAAGTTTGTAAGCTGAAAAATTTACTAAACATGAGTTTAGAAAGATTAATTACATTGCTTAGATTTTGATTTCTTTTAATCATATTTTTAGCGTATGATGAAGTACTATACAGTATGCACATTTAATGAAAACTACAAACACTCACTCTTTAAAAGTGCAACCATCAATATTTGAGAAATTATGAAAATTATTTACACAATGAAGACACTATACTTGAAATGACACAATGCAATGTAGATATGAATAAATGTTTTTTTACACTATGAATATTTTTTAATATCAGTTAAGATCAAAATATACTTCCATACATAATAACTACAATGAAACGTGTTGAACTATCATTTTTAATGCCAATCTTAAAACGTAAAGCTTTTTTTTTTTACAAAATATGCACGTTAAAATTATATTAGAATAAGAATTTCATAATAACAACCTGCTGTTTTTATTGCAGATAATTACATTTTGAGAATACCATAATCAAAATCACATTATTTCACATAAAGTGAAGGGGAGGAGGAAGGAAGTCAGATCAGAGTTATGTACATTTTGTTTCACAACCACAAAACTTAGCCAAACAATGACATACATAATCAGGTAACCAAAATTTTTACATAAAAATATATTTAACAATAGATAAGAAAATATGTCATAATATCACAAATTAAAAATATACAAAATTTTTAACATCGCTATTTTGAAAATTAATCCAGAGAAAAATTCTAATTTCAGAGGGGTAGAGACTAGTGAGCAAGCAGTACTGCTTAAAAGAAAACTGGATTAAAATTTAGGCATGCTTCAAAAATTATTATGCCTTTCATGTTACAACTTCACATATAGATCTCTCCACACATAAAAACACAAAATATTTCATATATGCACTGCTAAATTTATATGATAATACAACAATGAACAAATTCTGTTCAAGTGAGAGTTTACAAGAACTGTACCCGTTCACAACAACTTACACTTCAAAAAGTGTCTAAGATGAATAAGAATGTATCAATGAATCATTGCATTATTTGGTCGAATCAGCATTTTGTACAAGATAGGTCACATGGGATGACACACAAAAAATAGTCAGCATGAACTGCTTTTGAATCGGGTGTCCCCATTTTCAAGGACAGCCAATTTAGCAGGTGAGGTAGGTGACGATGAGATGGTGCCATTCCGTCCTTGCAACTGATACCGTTCTTTAAGCTGTGCTAGAGCTGCTAAAAGCCTAGTATTTGCAGCATCAAGTGTCTGTATTTTCCTTTCTTGTGCATCGATAACCTTTTGCTTTGCTAAAATAACACCTTGCATTTCTTGTTGTTCACGCCGTAATTCTTCTTCAACTGTAATTAACCTACAATACGAATTTTTTCATGTTAATTACATTTCAGAACAATAATAAATATTGAGTTATCTATGAAATGGCTGTTATTTCTGTGATATAAATTATATCACATTTCGGGAACTTAACTGCTAAATATGCCATTAAAAAAATGGAAATCTAAATTCTTTTCAAATTAAAATATTTTCATATCAGCTTAAAATTTCATTAACACAAATAATTTCCAATACAAAATTGTGCATGAAAAGAAAGATAAACTCGTCAAAAGAAATTAAAAAATAACTACGACATTTTTCAAGATTGCAGCTATGGAACAATCAAAGTGCTAGTGACAGGGTCCTGGATACAGAGAGCTATTTGACCTGGAAAACAAACAGTGGTTGATGTGACCAAGCATGCATGTTGGGAAGCAAGCTAGGGATTAGATTACAGAGAATCTGGCTTCACAGCAGAAATGTTTTGACATACGTTGAAAAATAAATAACTTCAGTGCAGAATAATTCATTTAGGAGAGGTTCCTTTAAACCTTTTTAGGGAAAAGAGGTTCCTCCTCCCTAAATGTTTCCTGTGTTTTAATATATATATATAAAAGTTTCACAAATCTGGCATTAGGATAGAGAGGAAGGTTAATGTGCCAGCTTGCTTATAAAAAGAATAAATGATGGCATTTTTAGTGTGAATAAGTTATCAAATTTGTACAATTCAACTTCTCAACAAATAAGAATATTCGAAGGGGAGGACAGAAATTTCTTGAAAAACTTCTACTGCATTTCATCTTACCTACAGTTTGGAATGGGATTTATAAAAATAAGTATAAAAGATACTGAAACATCAATATTACTCTCTATAACAAAAAAATTGACGTACCAAACAAGGAATCATCCAATTACTTTGAAATTTTGTATGCGTAAATGCTTTGAACCAATATGCAAATGATTAAAATTTGGTGACCAATGAATGAATAGTGCGATCTCCAGTGCACTGGAACTGCACATCCAGCAGATGTATATAAGAACCTGTTCTTGGAATTGTTGTCAAAACTTTCTGTTGCATTGTGATTTAGGATACATTTCAACGACCGAAAAAAATGCCTCGCCGCAGGATTCGAGCTCATTACGAGCAACTGCGAGAGTTTGAAAGAGGTCATATCACTGGATTGAAAGAGGCAGGAATCGGAGAATCGCTCGTCATATGTGTCGAAGCGATGCGGCGATTAGAAGATGCTGGCAAAAATGGGTGGACAATCAGCGTCATGATGCTAGTGGTCAACACAGGACCACAACAGATCGGGAGGACAGAGTGATTGTCAGATCAGCTGTCACAGTGCCTGATTCATCACCATCAACCATCAAACGTGTGACCCGCACGTGAGTGTCCACCATGGCCATTCACAGACGGCTGATAAAGTGAAATCTATGCTCGTACCGACCATTATGCCAGCACACTGTCGAGCCAGATTACAATGGTGCTTGGCTCGATCAAGTTGGAATGATGCTGACTGGGTGTCATATAGTCTTTAATGACAAATCCCACTTTCAACTGTGTCGTGACAATCATCGAAGACGTCTCTAGAGACAGTCAGAGCAGCGTGCCGATCTTGCTTTCGCTATTGCACACCAGACAGGCCCTCACAACCAGGAGTTATGGTCTGGGGTGCCATTTCCCTTAATAGCTGGACTCCTTTGGTCATCATTAGAGGCAGAAAAGATAATGCCAGTCCACATATGGCACATGTTGCTATAAACTGTCTTACAGCTTGTCAAACACTTCTTTTACCAGCCAGATTGATAGATCTTTCTCATTGGGATACGATGGGAAGGTGACTGCATCTACCAGGGAATGTTGACGACCTAGCTCGACCAACTGGAGCAAATTTGGCAAGAAATACAACAGGAGACCGTCTGGAAGCTTTATCTGTCTATGCGCCGTCATGTGGCAAAGTTTTCTTTAAGGATTTATGCCGCAATTTGAATGCAGAATATTTTCTGGTTTTTCTATATGTATATTTCTATATTAATTCTTTAAAGAAGAAAAAAAATATCTCTAATTAATTCAAGATTTTATTCATCAATGTTAAAATATCAACTATTTAAAGCACTGTGTAGAAAATCTCAACATGATACAAATATAGAGAACATGACCACATCTATTTTCTTTTCAACTGAAGTAGAAAATCTTAGCAAAGCTAGCGGACAAAACAGGCGATATAAGCAGTTGCCTATAGTGCTTTTTTTTTGGAGGCATCATCTAAGTAGTATGCATATATGTTTAATTTCTACAGGGTACTAACTGCACTCATCACTTAAGGTAAAGACAATGTTGAAGCCAGGCCTAGCTAATTAGATGCTTTGATACCAAATCAATATTCAATCTCTCATTACAGTAAATTATTCAGACATTATTAGTATTATAAATATTATTTTTTCAATCCCTCTAGTTACCTTTAAAAAAAATGCAATTAACTGATTACAAGGAAATGACGAGTCTTACTTATATGAATTCTTATTGCCAAACTCAATTTTGATGAGTTACACAACACTTAAAAAACTTAAATATCATATTCAGGAATAGTTCTATATATAAAACACAGAATTTAAGTTTAGTTAAAGTCTATTCCTTGGGCTATTAAAATTAAATAGTCCGAAAGGATATATCTGCTTATGAAATAATCATAAGAAATTAACATGAAAATTCCTTTGCAGTGGTAAATCTATCTGTATATAACTGCTTGACATTTTTGTTCTGCTCATGTAAATAACTGTATTTACAATTATAACAAAATAATGTTTTAGTTCATAAGCTCATCATAGAAAACGTCTTTTTAGTAAGAAAATAGTAATTTCTTAGCCTCAAAAGTTCTCAAACAAATTTTATAGAAAGTTGATATTTTTAGTAAAAGTTAATTATATAGTTACCACCATTGGTATTACAGTCAAAAGTCGTTAATTCGGACACCCATAATCCGGAATGATCAATAATCCGGACCTCAAAGCTACAAACCTTCTGTGCATGCCTCGCATCACGCATGCGCACAGGCGTTTACGAGCGGTGGGTGCGCATGCACTCTAAGCTAAAGTTATCTAATTCAGTTAATGTTGCAGATTGCGGCTTATTATTTTTTGCAGACTGTTAGAGCAATTTTATAAAAGTAAGCTTGAATTATGTCAAATAGAATTTCCAATATATATTTACTACAAAGCCAAAGTATGTTTTGAAATCCGAAATCTGTTTATCAATTTCACACTGCTCTGCAGCAGGGGGGGCAGAAACGTCATTATTAGATTATGATAGATTAGAAAGATTATGTCAAATAGAATTTCGGATATATATTTACTAATATGTAATTTGTATCTACAAAGCGAAAATATGTTTTGAAATCCGAAATCTGTTTATCAATTTCACCCTGGGGATTGGAAGTTGATCTGTCAGCACTATCCTTATCTTCAGGGCAGATGTTTTTATTTTATTTGGTTTACAATTCTGTACTAAGTGTAGTATTTCATCTGGTCTTTGATATTATTTAAATCAAGTTCCCCTTCGGATAGTGAGAAAGTGACCCAGAGGTTATTGAAAACAAAAACATTTGGATTGACAAATTAGTGGGTATTCTCAACACAGCAATTATAGGACTTGAACAGCCAACTTTGTAACTAAACAAGAAATTATGTCTGTTTAATAGAATTAAAGAGAAAGTATTATCACATGAAATGAAGCAACTTACATTGAAGGAAATGTTTAATAAAGTAAACAAATAAATATTAAGCTTTTCTTTTTGTAAATTTTGATACCCTTTAGATCATAATTGTTCTTTATTTCATAAATTACCGGTTTCATATTTTTAATTTGTAATTTCTGCATGCCATCTTACCAGATTTAAATTGATGATCTATAATCCGGAAAAAATCGATAATCCAGAATCGCCGAAGTCCCGACGAGTTCGGATTAACGACTTTTGACTGTAATATTATTATTATTATTATAAAGTCAAATTAATGCATTTTAAAATAATTTCTTTAAAAATCAAAACTATCCCCAAAGGTCAGTAAATTTGTTGTACTTTTTTTATACTAAATTTTATATAATATTTTTTTAGATTAAAATAATTATTCTCTACTGATTCCAAATAAAATTCACTAATCTGTTGCTCCTCTGAAAACATGCTGCAAAAATTCACTAAAACGCTTTTAGAATAAATGATGCAATCAAGATCATAACTGTAACCCAAATGTATAAATATTTTTAGAGAATTTCAAAACATTTTTGTTTTGCTTTATATTGACAATAGTGGACATTACTTAAATTTTACTGATGTTATTGTTCAGATATTGTTACCAATGTCCCACTTGTTTCATATGTTTGTATATGAAAACATGGAAACTATCTCATTTACTGTGATCAACAATTTAGTTAATATGATTAAAACAGAATTTTTTTAATTGAAGTAAGTTGCCAAATAAATTCAAAACTAATTATAAAAATTACCAATGACAGAAATGTTGCCAAACAGCTTGATTTCAATTTAGTTAATCCCTTAAATTTAAGAAAAAAAAAAAAAAAAGCAACCTTAGTTTATGGAGATTTTTAATAACTAACAGTTTTGAGGTTGATCAGACACAGGTCCTTCTTAAAGAGTAAAAAAATTCTGCAGAACTTTCCCTTTGTGAAACAAAATTCTCAGAAAACATTTACACCAAATTAAAATTATTTTTCCCCCTAATTTAAAATTTTACTTCAGCAAGTTCTCTTTCAGTGATGCCATACTAGTATTAAGATAGAAGTAATGTTTCAGTCAGATAATTTTCAAAAATATTATGAACATTTCATAAACAAACTGTTACATTTTTCTAACTAAAATGCTGTGAAAATACCTATTTATATGTTTTTAGTCATATTTATATTAAATTAGTTAAATTCCATTGCTATTTTGATGGATATATATATTTTTTTTTAAGCTCATAAATTAATTTCATCAAATAGCCGTGTACAACGATGATCACATTAAGCAGCTCCTGTAGTGAAACCAGAATCTCCAAATTATGTTAGCTCATATTTAAATAAATGCTTTTTAAAGCATTTACAAGCAGTTATTCTTCCTTACAGAAAGTTTATACTAAAATTTAAAAAATTCAAATATCTGCAAATATTTAATTATCATTCAAAGTAATGGTAAAATTATAAAATAACTTTTGCTTTTATATGAAGATAGTAACTCCTTATGTGGAAATCCAAACTTTTAGTTATGAAATTTCTGTTATTATCCATTAAGTACCAAACTGAAGCTCATACTTTAAATTTTAATATATTGTGAAGTATGAAATAAAAGTAATTTTGCAGTTGAAAAAATAGCCATAATATACTATTTACAGAACTATTTTATATGTACCTTGTAATAATATTTTTCATTTGTTGATCTTTCTCATCTTGCTGCCTACGTATTCGTTCTTCACCAGCCTCTAATCGAGCTTGCCAATCAGCCACAACTTTCTCTGTTACAGATTCCTGCTTTGCCAGTTTCTCTTCAGCTTCAGAGAGTTTGCTCTGCATACTTGACATTAAATGCTTGAGTTCTTCAACTTCTTTTTCATACTAAATTTAGGGAAAAATTGATAATTTTTTTTAAATGACAAATATTGTTTCAATTTTTGATTAACATGAGTTAAATAATATTGTACCTATACTAAAGTTCTGAAAACTGGCTTTAAATTTATGTAAATGTAAGGTATTAAAGAGAAAAAAAAATAAATGTCAGATAAATAAAAAATCTTTACCTCTTCCACAGATTTTCCATTATTATTATCTGTTAAAGTATTGCAATTTGTTGTAATAGTTGTTTCATTTGGTTGGACATTGCTGTTGTCAATATCAGCTGAATTAGTTCTATTGAGAGAATAATGTTTAAATGAATTATATAATATTAAGTAAATAAAACAGAACTTTTATTCAACATGCAACATAAAATACAGAAAAACATTAAATATTAAGACAAATTCCATTAAAAAAAATTGGGGAGAGGCGAAAATAATGCAAAATAATTACATAATCAAAAAGCTATGAAATAAAAATGGAAATGATTAGTAGCTCTTTACTTTAGTTGATTATTTACCTCTACCCTCCCTTCCTTAAAATTTATTACATAAAAGAATTTCAATAGGTATCAAGAAGCAAAAATTTTCCTGACTATGGATGTATTACAAACTAGTCACAAACTCCTTAAAACTGCACCTAGCAAAGGTCAATCAAATAGAATGAAAACTGAAATATGTAACTAACAGATATTTTAAGAGAAAAATTTCTGAACAAACACAAAATGTAAATGAATAATACTTTTTCCTTAAATATGAATGTTTCAGGCTAATACGAATATCCATCTATACATTCATATTATTTCTTAAATTCATACTGGAAATATCAACTTAAATTCACATTGGAATCAGCAATCAAGGGGCAGATGTCTACATTTAGTTGAACAAGTCAAGTATTCACAGAAATGAAAAAGTTCACCATAGTTAGGATTCCACTGTTAGGTAAAAATTGTAACTTCCAATTTCTGAAGGATTCTGTTATTCACACTTCCATAGATTGATCTCAGGTTGGCAAGATCGAGGCTGCCATTATTATTGAGACCAATTCACAAATTAATTTGATTTTCTAGGAACTTCTGATATTTTCTCCATTAGATTTTTTTTAATAATGTAGCTTCTACCTTATTACTTACTGTTAAAATACATGGAAAAAATTTCTCAGCCCCACCTCTACTTTTTAATTAATTTTATATATAATGCTATAACTTTTATTGCAAGCACCAACAGTAACAACATATTGATAATGCTGGAGAGTCTAAACAGAACTGAATTCAGCAATATCATATTCCTTTACGCTGAATTGTTTGTTTGTATACTGTTATTACAAATAAAGTCATTTCTCTTATAATAATCCTGATCCATAGTCATTATGCAAATATTATTTTAAATATGAATGTCTCAAATATGAGTAAACATTCTGTTCTAAAACATTCTACAATATTGAGTAGCTCCTGCAAACCTTTATCGACAAAAACTCTCAGCAGTTTTGACTCTATATTTATATGCACTATTAAAACCTTTTTAATGCAAAATATAACTCCAGTAATACATTCATAAGCATATGCAAGTCTAATCAGAAATGAAGATATGAAGATACAAAGGAAAACAGAACTGTTAGAAGAATACTGCAGGAACAATCATCATATGTATTTTTATTAGTTAGCACTTAATTAAGTACTCATTTTTATCTACTGGCTAGGCTAACTTTTAAATATTTTTTTTCCTATTTCTGACACTTATTATATAAAATCAGTGGTGCAACAGCCCTTAACCATAGCCTGCAGTGCCCTGATATCTGGTTCTTGATTGTGAGCCTCTGGGTGCATGAACATATGCTCTGAACAAGTAGTCAGCTTGTCTCAGAACCCCTGGTGTATAGTCCTCAAGCAAATTTGCTATTCATTTTATCAACTCACTCAAAAGATAAAAAAGAGTCAACCCTTTCCCACCCAGGTATCGAGCACAAGATCTGAGGTGACACTGTGCCACCGGGCCTTGACACCAATATATATATATAGAGAGGTATTTAACAAATTAGAAATAGACAATTTTTCAATGAAAAGGTTGTTATAAATATCTCAATCAATTCTATACTTCAAACATAATATAGTTACATGAATGAGCATATAACAGATATACTGAATTAAGAAAGCATTGCGCATCTACGTTAATAACAATTAAAGGCATATGAATTATCAAACTAATCTCTCCCATTGTGATTCTGATTTTAATGATTGTAGTTAAATTAGTCACTGAAAGGGAGGGGGGAATCTTCCAAAAGTTATGCTTTTCAAATAATATTAATAAATCTGAAGGCTTTCAGATTTCATATTACGTCAAAAAACATAACACACAAACGTTCAAACGTTAACACACATAGCGTTTAAACATTGTGTGTTACCTTTATTTATTAAATATCATGCTCTTCACACTTAAACCATAAAACTCAATCCAACAGCAATATCACAAAATATTTAAAAGAGCATATCTTTAAAATTTTCAATACAGAGTCTCACACACTGGAGGTAATGGAACTGTTGAACTAACTGAATTTGCAAGAATCTCATTCTTTTTATTTAATGACCATTTCTGTTGGATGTCTATAAAGTTAAACCTTATAATTTAATTTTTTTCAGACATAAGGATTCAAAAGATTTAAATGACAAGAAAAAGTGTCAAGATGCATATTTTCTAATCCTAAATTCTTTTCAAGATTCATGTTATTTGATAATTCAAATATCCCACTGCCAGTAAAAATTTACTGGTACCAAATTCATCGACTATTATTAAAAAAGTCATTAAATATGTTACTCAGACAACTGTACTGCAAAACTAAAATTCTAATAATAAAAGAAACTTACACAACATTTAGTTTATCTTTATTATTTGATTGTGAAGTTAAATTCAAATTTTTCGGTTTTCGATGCAGACATGAAGCTGTCGAGAAACACTGCTTATGGTGATGATAATGATGCAAAGATCTTGTTGGATGCGATAAGGCTCTTGTAGCTAGACGAGGAGAGCACGCTATAGTTGCACTGCAGCACAAATGCTGTGTACCGCCTCCTGAATACCTAGGATTAGTTCGAGGTGCTGTTGATTTGAATTGACTGTTTCTGCGCTCCCTTGGTGGAGTCGAATTGCAGCTGGCCGTACCTGATGAGGATGAGCTTGAATGGCAGTTACAACCATCCACAGATAGGATGAGTGATGAATCAGCATTCCCTATACACATTACAAAAAATTAAACATTCTTAAATCACATATGAGAGATAAATACAATACTAAAACATGTTAGGATACATAATTAAATTTGGTTTACTTCTTCCAATGAAAATCCATTCAAATGTTCTTGAATAAATTTTCAAAAGAGAGTTTTTAACACACTTAAGTATACGTAATATAAAAAATGTCAACATTGTTTAGTAAGTATTTATTTCAGTACAGCAGTCTGAAAATTTCTCTTTCTTAAAGATCATGACAAATACATGCAAATATCAGAAGTGATACAGCGTAACATGACTGGACAGAGAGCGTGAGACAAAAGGATAACAGGTTTTGAAGGTGGGCGCACACTTCAGTTAAGAAGAGAGATTATGTGGAAGAACGATGACGATTTAAAAGATGAAATACCTCCATTGTGAACTTTTATCTGGTAATATTTCATCGTAAATAACCACAACCACCAAAGTACATCACAAGTAGTTCCATTAAATAATCTAGCAATTTATATTTGTCTGTTCTGTCTACTAATCCCCTACATGCTGAGCCACATATATACGTACATATAGGGAAAAAGTTCAAAACTTTCACTGATTTATATTACATTATTTATTCCATCTATAACCATATATGCCATTTCATACACTTATAAGATGAAATTTTACTCTCTTCCACAAAATGTTATCCCCATTTTTTATATGAAATGTATTTAAAGCAAAATAATTTGATACAAGTGCAGAGGAATTCATTTTGCTTTTTTGATGGCTCACACTAAATACAAGCAACTTTTTCAAACTGCTCAAAAATTCTCAAGTTCATTATGCATTTTAATTTATGGACAAGATATGAAAGTTTATCAACAATCAAAAATTAAAATTCCTTAAGCTTTTATCTATATATTAAAACCTTTTTACTATATTAAAAATAAATATATTTTGATTTTTTCCAAAATATAGATAGCATAGCAAAATTTTTTTTAAATGTTCAGGTTGCATTTTTAAAAAAAAATCAAGGGTTAATTCTAAAAAACACAAACCAAAGAATGCAAAATGTCTGTAACATGAATTAATTGAGATACTAGGCTATGATGTAGACCTGTACATGCTCAATTAGAGGTTAAATTTTACAAGGTAATAGATTACAACAAAGCATAACTGCTTTCAGTTCAGTGAATGCCCTTACAGAAAACCTGATTTCTTGCATCTTAAGGATATAAAATCTTGTGTGAAATATTACTCTTTCTGTTAAAACTCAAACCATGAATAAAAATTGAATGAATATAACTTTTACTTAAATAGCAAGTTTAAATCAAATTTATCAATCCTCCCAAAAACAGGAATGATAAAACATATTCTATTTTAAACACTCTAGTTATTCTCACTCAGATGGCTAGTTAACTGCTTATAACAAAGCACAGAAGGTTTGTATGTGATCAAATCAACACTCATTTCAGCACTTGAGGAAGGTATGGTTTTATGGAAGACATATGAAAAGCAAATATTTATATTACATGTCACGAAAAATCCTTGAGGCTAGTCAATCTAGCAAGGACCATATCCAGAACCACCAACACTTGATGAGTTGGATCACAAATTACCTTTGAACTTTGATACTGGCAGGTTTCATATTTCTTAATATACTACAAGTACTGCAACATCATTTTCTTACCCAGTGAACTAGGCCCAAACACTGATATATCTTCAGCACTAAGGCTGCTAAAAGAACTAAGATGGGAGATACGAAGATGCTTCCTCATCTGACGATTGCAACGATCCCAGCTGATGCCAGTATTTGGTGTGGGAAAATGGTACATAGGATTATTGAAAGCCAGAGGAGGATTGGATCCATTTCCAGTAGTTGGCTGTGCTTTATCTTGTTGCAGCTCTGGATCTACTGGTGAACTGGACTGACTGTATGGGAAAGACTGGTAGCCAGATGAAGCAACATTAGATAACTGAAAAAGACATTTAATAATATTAAAAAAAAAAAATTAAAGCACTGATCATACAATGGCTCCCAAAAGTGTTCGTAGACTTATGATTTCATTGAAATAGGGCTCTATCCATTAAATAAAAGTATAATTTCTGAATGAGATTTTAATAATAAGATCTATAATCTATTTGTAACAAAATTATATGAAATATTTTTAAAATATAGCGAAACTTTATTTTAAAGAAATTAATAATAAAAAATGACAAACATTTATCTCACAAAAGTTTTTATACGCTTCAAAAAAAAATCTTGACATATTAGTAAATATTTCATTTTTCATTAAATTAATATTAGTAGGATATCCTTTAGCATCCACAACAGCTTTTAAATGTCTAGGAATGGATTTTACTAATTTCTTTTGTAATTTCCGTATCAGTGTTTATACATTCTTCTATCATGGCTGTTTTGAGTCCGCTTTTCGTTTTGATGTTGTGTTTTCGTACTTTAACCTCCAACTCTTTATAAATATGTTGTATGGGGTTTAAATCTGCGACTTAGGTGGTGTTTTCAAAACCTCTGGGCAATTATAGAGACACCTACAGGCGAACGTTGAAAGTCGTATACTTAGGATCTGTTATCATGAATTAAAAATAAAGTTGTTTCCAATACCCAAATTTTGGGCTGATAATTTTAAATTGTCTCTTAAAATATTTAAATAAAGAGAATGATTCATTATGCCATCAATAAATACCAAATTACCTAGTCCTGATGCTGCCATGCACCCCTACACAAAAATACCTCCACTGCTATGCTTAACTGTTCCAACCAAGTTCTTAGACTGAAGTTCCTCATTTTTTCTTCTCCATACAGTTATTCGACCATTGGAACCAAAAATGTTAAATTTGCTTTCAGCAAATAGGACATTATTCCACTTCGTTTCGGGTGTATTTATCACTGATTTTGTGAATGAAAGCTTAAGCTTTCTGTTTTTCTCACTAACAAAAAAATTTTTACGGGCAGAACGCCCATGTAACCAGCTTCTCCGAGAACTCGTAACAGTTTCAGGTGAAATTGAAAGAGAAAACTTTGCATTAAATTCTGCAGAAACTTTTACAGCACTCAAACGTGGGTTTTTCACAAATTTTCTAATAATAAATCTCTTATCACGTTTAGTTAACTTTCTCGTTCGACGTTTTCTTACCTTATTTTCAATACAATTTTCTTCTTTAAAGCATTTTGTAACATACTGCACTGTAGAATGGGATAAATTAACCAATTTAGTGATATTTCGAATTAATTTAGCACTACTATGGTGAAAAATTATTAATTTTCGAATGCTGTTTGTAATTTCCTTATGACTAAGACCCATTTTTTCAATAATAAATAGAATATTATAAAGTAAACAATAAAAAATTAAAGCAAACGATTTTTTAAATGCCACCATAATGCAAAAATTAAAAAAAGCAGCAAACGATAATTCTAATTTTGATTTTATCCAAAAATATTTCAGTGTACGAAGAGACTTTTGTAAGATAAAAGTGTTTGAAATTTTTTTATTATTTATTTCTTAAAGTTTTGCTATATTTAAAAAATATTTCATGTAATTTTGTTACAAATAGATTATAGATCCTATTGTTAAAATCTCATTCAGAAAGTTTACTTTTAATTAATGGATAGAGCCCTATTTTAATGAAAATCACTTTTGGGAGCCACTGTATCTATAGAAAAACTCTTGAAAGCATGCTAAGTAATCACAAAAATTATTTTAACAACATTAAAAAAATGTCCACCCTTTTCTAAAACCATACATCATTACACATATACTTCGGCCAATTCAGCTCCAATTTCATACTCTCTGAAGTGGATGAAATGAAGTGAAAAAAAATTGCACACACATCGAAAATGCATATCCAGTAATATATCATACAAAATAAGAAATAGTTTTCTATCAAAGGCCATCATCAATTCTGCAACTACCTTTTTTTTTTAAAAAAAAAAAAAAATAATTTTCTGATATTCTTTAATAGCCAATGTCTCTGAAACTATGAAATGGCTCATGCTATAGTATGAATAACTGAAGAACATGTTTCAGCGAGTTTTCAAGCATTGTGTGATGTAAAAGTCTACAACTAAATTTCATACTCTTTATTTTCAAAATTTAATGGATTTTTTCCTTCTGCAAAAAATGGGGAACTAAACAGTACATTTTAAGTATTCGATATTTTTATAATTTATATATTTCCCCTTTTCTGTATAAATATATGTCTTGTCTTATTCTTTTCAATACATAGTTAAAGAAATCTAAGTAAAATATTTAGCATCAAAATGAAAATGAATTTTAAAAGAAGGATGATCCATGACCAGTAACCAGACTAAGGATATCCCATAAATACTTTAAATTCTTTTGGGTCCAATCTAGACTCTGATATATTTAAATACACTAATAATTCTGAAGGGTGGACAACTTGCAAGTATGGTCAATAAAGATTCCCTACGAACATGTCATAATTGCCAGAAAATTCTTTCAACATTAACTCTTATATTATCATCTATAATTTCAGCATCAGAAAAATGTTTAAACTAATGAATATTGTTTTTTACAGTAACAAGAATTTAAAATCTGTCTACAGAAAAGTTTTTTTTTTTTTTTTAAATTACAATTATGCTTCATAATAACATATCAAATAATTTACACTATTATAAATGCATTTTAATCCATTTACAATTAAATGACTAAATTTAACTCAATCCATACATTTTTCATCTTCAAGCCTGCTTTCTAAAATTAAAATTATTTGTCAAAATATGATTAATTCCAGAATTCAGCAATATTGCTGATATTTAATGGGTTTGACTGCTGATCTGAAATAATTCAAACTTTAAAAAGTCACTGATCAGTAACTTCATTTGCACTTAAATATTTAAGCACATAGTATAGAATTTCCCTTTCAATTAATATAAAACAAGAATATCACAAAATTACATAAAAAAGTGACTAAATGAATAAAAAAACTAAACTCACTAAAATATTAAGTATTTAAAAGTAGGAGAAAGCTGTGATTTTACCATTTAAATATAGGAAACTACTACTAATGAGTGAAATATTTTGGAGAATAAACAAACATCAATAGTGAATTTTACCTTTCCACAGAAGACCAAAATCGCTTATAACTATGGTAGTTAGTTATCTTAGAATAAATTCACTGCATTTTGCCATAATTTATCATACTGTATATCAGTGCTCCGCAACCAGTGTGCCATGAGTAGGATAGTGTGCCGCAATCAAATACATATATTTGACATTTTGCAATTTTTTATCATGTATTTAATACACAATGACAATTTTTTTTCCTTAATAATGTCTATTTTAAATGTTTTTAGATATTTCACTGTTGTGTGGTTGTGTGTGTGATTGTAAGTGTGTCAGCATTTGAATTTTTTCGGCACTTCCTTGATAACTTGGAACTAAAAAATATAGAACTTTTTTTAAGCGCAGGTATCACATTGATAATTATTATGATTGCATATAAATAAATATGTTATGGTTTATAATTGTATATTTTTCAAATTAAAAAAAAAAATTTATTGTAAATTTTGTTTATAAATCAATACATATATACATTAGCTTTTGGTGTGCCACGAAATTCCAGAAAGATTTTTTGTGCGTCGCAGGTGAGAAAAGGTTGCGGAGCACTGCTGTATATCACTTAGAAATATTCAATTTATTTGCATAATTTTCAATTTAAAATCCTGAATTCAGTGAATTTCTCCACAAGAATAAGAAGTCTTTGGAATTTTTTAGATTAGTATTATTTGCATGTGCAATCTAAAGCCCTTCATACAACCTTTCAAAATCCTAATCAAAGTACTATTGAGATACATTTCCCAACAGCTAAAGAAAAGGAAATTAAGATAACATAATATAAAGGCAGCAAGCACTTTCTGGCGATTGAATCTGCAACCGATACTGGTAAAGAATTTCTGAGATAGCATACCTTGAAGATAAAATCTTCAGATGTTCACAAAGAACTTCTATTAGCCATGTTAACACATTCACTGCCAAGGTAGGTTATACAAAATTTCACCAGAAGCCCACTGACATAAAAACAAAGCCTTAACATACTTATATATCGGTGCATGACTAGGCATTAGATAATAATATTACATAATGCACCTATGCATGATTGCCAGCAAAAGTGTTAATGAAGATTGAAGTACTGTGCATTCCTCTCCATCCAGAAAGCACAATTAACAATACAATGTCCCCTCCTCTCCCACTGTAAGTTCTCTCTTCCTCTAGTCACTAATTACAATAAGATAATAAAATAACTGAAATCTTCATTTTTCCCCCTTGTGAGTTCCGAAAATTTATTATTACAAGGCCTTACCCATAATAAGAACTTTCAAATTTAAAATTAAACTTCATAAGAAATTCTGTTTCCACTCACAGTCCAAAATATGAATAACAATATATTAGAAAATGAATACTGAAGACAAAAGTGCTAATATTTAATGCAACTTATAATTTTTATTTATATAAATTCTTTCTTTATCACCCCTTCAGAAATGTTTTATAACTATGCAATTTTTCCTTTTTGATTTTCAAGCTATAAAAAAAGCATAAGCACAAAAAAGAGGAGGAAAGGGAAGAGAATTATGTAAGCATGCACAGTATTCCAAAAATGAATTCTAACTAGAAGTGGGAAATTACTTTCAAGATATGTTCTACATATTATTGAAAATGCTATAATTCTTACTTGGCTGATAGAGATTTGACTGCCTTTGGGATTGGAAACTTCCATTTCTCCTGATGTGTTGGCAGCTTCATCACTAGATTGGCCATTACAATGCAAATTTCGTTTGTGTGCTTCTTTTCGATCTTTGCTTGGAGGTGATACTTTAGAACAAATTCCATTCACTATTGGGCCATTCTTAGGCCTACTGGAATCTGAGGTTTTTTTATCACAATAATTGGACATGTTTATTCTGTGATTAGGAGTTCCAAAATCATCCCTCTTAATCTCCCCATAAATGCAAGACTTTGTGAGGCGAGGTGACACAGAATCCTTCTGATACTGCTGATCCTCTTCATTATCCACACTGTTTCTGTTAGAAACGAGACCCTTGTCGGCATCAAACGCACTACAAAGTACGTAGTCGTCAGAGGTTGTCAGGTCAGGAGCAGCTTTTCTTCCACTTCCCAGCAAATAAGCACTGCAAAAAAGAAAATAATTCAGATTATAATAATTTTACACATTTAGATATAAATAGTATATTGTCACTATCACAACAGGGAATATATTAAAAACAATGATTTTAAAATTAAGGCATCATTTAGCAGAAAATAATGACATATAATCTTCAGCCAAATATCTCATTAATATTTTTCAAGCTCAAATGATAGTACAGAAGGTACCACTTAATGTTATCATGTTTGTGCATTTTGATAACGATAATCGAATGGTAACACTACAATGGAAATTAGCAATGAATTTTAACTAATTTAATATATAAGAAGAAACTTAAATACTAACCTTCACAATATTTTAACTAATAAACATCATTAACAGTAGATTGTATGCAAAAATTTAGTTATGAACTGTTTCTAACATTTCTGGAAATTATTTGACCCATATTGTGCCCCTAATCTTAATACTCACAGGACACTCTTATATCAGCAGTTATAGGAAATTTACCGATTTTATCTTTTATGTTCTTTAGAAAGTTTATTACAATTGTTTCAGAAAGCCACTGGCATATATCTTCTATCTGAAGAAGACAGAGCTATGTCCGATTGCCTCAGAATCATAAAAAGCAATTCAAAAAATGCACCAAACTTAAAAAAAAAAAAAAAAAAAAAAAAAAAAAAAAGAAGGCATCTAATTTTAATTGGTTGACTAAAATAAAAATCAAACAGTTTGATGACTTAATCCCTTACTTAATGACATTTTTTAGTCATTTGGAAATTTTTAAAATTTACTTTTAGTCATTTGATTATATATAGAGAATTTATTTCAAAAACTTATTTTATAATATTCTGATAACATTAAACACCTTGTTAATCACAAAAAGTGATGTATTTTCCATGTTTCTGTGTACAGACAGGGTAGACTTCAGCAAATTAATAATAGTATCTCAATAACATAAAATGGTATCTGCTGTAATGCTTACTAATTACTCGTTTTGAAATGTGTCTATATGAAAAAAAGTTTAACATTTATCTTAAAATGATATTTTAGGTTGCTTATAATGAAAACTCGGTATTGTCGTAACTGGCGAACAACTGAATTTTGTTACTTAGTTATTAGTTTTGTAACGGATAATGCCACCTCTTTTCAGTTCATTTCATCACACAATTTGGTGTGCCATCAGCCAATGAGACAGCAAATTTAAACATTTAGAGCTATCTTTCAATTTTGCATAATCAGAATTATTATTTAATATTAATAATTTTTTATGGTTTCCAAAATCTTTCTTTTGCTGTGGTTTTATGATACATATAAGAAAACTTTCAGTGTACAAATAAAAGGGAGATAGATTTTTTATTAGATTAGCTAGTTTAAGCATTTCAATGAATTACTCGACATTAATATAACTGAAAAAAGTAAGCCCCTAAATACTATGGATATAGATCATATCGAGAATTTTGCGCATATAGTGAATGAAAGTAAAATAAAATACACCTGATTTCCAAATCATTAAAATCACAAAAATTTCTTAGAATTCTTGTACAGTTAACGTTAAATAATTTATGGAAAACATGTTCATGGGCCATCAAAAATTATTTAGGGGGGCACCAGCTTGAGACCACTGGTTTAAACAATGAATTCTAAATAGGAGTCAGTTATAAGGTATATATGTTTTTCTTTTTCCTCCCCAAAATTCAATACATAGAAATAGCTCACATTAAGATTCTACTTACCGAGGAAGGGTAGAAGGCCGGTTCAAAGGTGTCACTGGAGATGTCGCTTTTTGGTTCACAGTAGTCAAGGAATGATAGTCAACTTCCATACGTCTATTTCGTACACTGTTCATAATATAAGTTTGCACAATTTCACGCTGAGAATTTTTCAGACTTGTATGCTCGGTCATTTTATGAGTCAAATTCTCATTGTTGATAGAATTGCTATTATGGTCCGTGTGACAGTTATTTGAACTTGAGGATGGTGTCAAATTATTTTTGGAAACAGAAGTATGCCCCAAAGCAGCAGAAATGCCATCAAGTATTTGTTGTAATGTATCAATATGATTATAATAACACTGTAAATGAAAAAAAGAATGAATGACTAATCAATTTTTAACAAGGTTATGTAGAATTTTCAAGTGCTTTCATTATCAATTAAAACAATAGCTTTTGCTTTTTTACCTTCTGATTGACTCTAGGCAAATTTTCAGTCATTAAATTATGGAAAATTGCAAGTTCCTTCCCTATGTCAATATATCCATCAAATTCATTCCGTTTATTAAATTCTTTGGTAGGAGGACTCTTTAAAAAAAAAAAAAAAAAAAAAAAAACTAATATTACAATTCAGTTCTTAAACAAATAACAACAAATGCAAAATAAATTTCAAGATCCTCATTTGGGATTTTTTGGGATATTAGATCATAAGTTTAAATCAAATAAGACAACATGTATAAGTAATAAAATTAAAGATATGAAATAATGAAGCATTTATGATCTTGCAAGAATCAAAATTTGAAAAAAAAAATCAATACTTTTTTTTCTTTTATTCAAATATTTCTTTTGATGCAAGTTGTTCAATTTTCTTCCCCTCTTTTTTGTGCTAATACTTTCTCTTTAATTCCACAGATTGACATAATTTCTTGCTCAGTTATAAAGCTCCATTATTTAAGTCATGTAATTGCAACATCAAGAACTGCCTCTAAATATCCCCTGACGAAATTTTTTCATTCTCAACAACTTCTCTATCACTTTTGTCACTATCTATAACAATATTTTCTGGATTTAGAACCATACTACAGATTTTACTGTCTATTAGTTGACTGATCTTTAGGACACTGACATCACAAGAAAAAAACTCATTACCATCACCTTCATTTATCACCACTTCTTCAAAATTCCATTAACTGGAAAATTTCCTTTCCAAAAAAACCTTCAAATTTGTGGCTGTCATCATAAAGCTTAGCTAGTGTTCGCTGTAAACTATTAGCAATGTATCATGAGATTGGCAAGACATATTCCAATAAATATTTTCTTTCATCTATTGCATGCTGACAACGTTAAATACGAATTATATTATTTTAGTTATTTATTACACTTAATAGCTATTTCCCACACAAGCATCAGGGTTATTACAATTCCAATAAATAAATTACCAGTTATACTTATGGCTTATATCCAGAGCGGGCAGTTGACATTTTGCAGCCCGATGCAGTTTGTGGGTCCGAAATTCTGCTGCCAAGCTCCTTCCTAAATTTTAAAGATTCTGTTATCTATTAATTTTCTTGCTTGGATTGTTTCTCTAAATTCTAAAAGAATTTACCTCCCTTAAATTCTGCCACCCAGCGGGGCCACAATATTGTTTATTTACAAGTTACAACCTTTTTTATCACAATTTTCAATAAAATTATAACGGCTTCAAAACTGTCAATCCTACTTACAGATATCTGTCTTAAAAATGCTTTCATTGTACTCCATTCTCTTTCAACAAAACCATTCATGAATTCCATAAAGCTCTCCTTACCACCAAACCTACAAATGAAAAAAAAGTGGACAAATTTAGACTCATTTTAGATTTCACTTAATATTAGTAACAAGCACAATAAAACAAAACTTTCTGTAACATTTATTTTCAGATCTACAAACTATTACAGAATGCAAAAACAGTATCATAAAAATAATAAATAAACCTTAATACATTTAGAAATAAGAACTAATGGCATACTAACTGAACTGAAAGTAATTTTATTTAAATCTACAATTAAAAATCAAATCGAAACAATCAATTATTTCAAAAGAAGTAGAATCAAACACGTTTCTTTAGATTTTTACACGAAACAATTTGCGATCCCATAATTCTAGCTGCTAGTTCATTTTTTCCCCACAGACTAAGACAAAAAATAAATGCAAAATAAATATTTTGCAATTTCTTATAATTTTTAAATGTATAACTCTGCAATTCATAAAGCTATCAGATACACTTACAGAAGATCAGTACTAGTTATCAGTTCTATATTTTAATGCATTTTTAATACTGTTAATATTCATAAAAGATGTAAGAAAATGAAAATATTCCAATATTATACCTAATCTTTATAACAAATATTTTATGTTAATCAACATCACATTAATGTACAAATGTGTATTATTAATTGAAACAAGACTTAAAATGCTTAAATCATGTTAAAAGAATAATTTGATAATTCTGCCTTGCATTGAAATAGCAATATACATATATAAACAACTTATTTTTCACCTAATAAAAAATATATTTAATCAGTTAAATCTCTTATTTGAGGTCATTTGCTTGACTGCAGCAGCGTCAATTATTTTCATTCAGTAAATTTAAGATTTTCAAAATGTATGACTGAGAAGACAACCACCTTTTGACAGGTATTAGAAATATTTTGCATTATATATCTACAAGTGAATTAACACTATGCCATATAATGTAGATTCACTTTTGATAAATGATATACCAATAAATAGTTATTCTAATAAAAAAGAACTGTTTTTTCACTATATTGGTATATCATTTATAAAAAAGAACTACTCATGTCAAAATTTGAGTTTTCCTCATTTTGAAAGAAATCATGTAATGACATACTGGCTAGCACTAAAATAATACTACAAACATGTAAAAATAATAAATTCCATTTTCAATCGAAAACAACTTTTACTTATATTTTCTTTAACATTAAAATGTATAAGTCTATAAGAAAAACTTGAATTAACTCGTTATTAAATCTTAAAAAACTTACAAATGAAAGCTTCAAAAACTAAAATTTAAATTATACCTGGTGAAGTTGGCTAATGTCTGAATGGTTTTTGCAACCAGAGTCAAATTTCTTGCAGATTTACCTTGAGGATACTCTGGAAAAAAAAAAAAAAAAAAAGTATTAATCTAATTTAGAATAATATATTCATTCAGAATTTTAACACAGTTCTTGAAGGTAGAATAAACTTTATTCCTTGTGTACAAAAACACAAATTACATTATAGTCTTTCTTAATTCTATGATTGTAATTCAGAATGCTTACTGTTTAAATTAAAATTGAAGGAATATAAGTTACATAACAAAACAAATTTTAAAAAAATCACCTTGAGATAAATTGAAAAGACTGGGTGATAAAATTGCAGGGCACAAGAATCTTAGGAAAATTGAAGCACTTATCAGATTATCACATAGCTCATCTTTCCCAGCAGCAGTCAGCCTTTTACGACATTCATAAAATACTTCCCGAAGTTCACTGTAGATCATTAAAAAGTTATGAGAACATCAGTAATTTATTCATGTTTTCTCCACATATACTTAACATTATGTTTTAAAAAATATTAAAAATAATATGATTAAGTGGCTTACTTAGGGAAATTAGAAGCTGAATTTATTATTTTCACCCAAACCATTTCAACGAAAGTCATCAGATGTGACTGCTGTCGCAGGAGGGTAGCATTATTTGTAACTTTCATAGGGTCAACCTAAAATAAACCAAGTAAACAAGAAAATTTAATTCACAGGAGCTCAACAATAAGAAAGAAAGGTTTTTAATGAAAGAAAACTTTTACATTTTCACAATTATTTAATTGAATAATTTAGTAACTTTAGGGATTTGTTGCAAATGCAACATCAACTGCTTATAACAAGGTTTTTTGTTACACAAACAGTTTACATATAGAGATATTATTATAGAAATGCAAAATTTAACAGAAGAAAACATTTTGAATGCTTCAAAAAAATATTTTACAAAAAATTATTTCGTAAACAAAACCAGTAATCTCATATAAGTTAATAAAGGCTGAATACACAAATAAACACTATCAAATGATAAAAAAACTGACCTCACAATCATCATTTGAGTCCAAAACCATTCGCAGAAAAACTCCAAGAGTATCTTGCAAATACTGTAAGTACATAATGATAAATTAGGACCAGAATAATAAAACTATATAAGTAAAATAGAACTTGCTTTGGTACTCTTCTGTCATCGGGACCGGATTAAAAAATGTACATATGTATGTTTGGATGTATCTGTTCGTATATGCAAGTATATATGTATGTGCGTGCATACACACACATATATGCACTTACATACACGTGTATACACGTATATATACATTTCTGAATTTGGTTCCTATAAATAAGAGAACCTTTTTTTCATACACATTAAAAAAGTAAAGAAAACTTGCAGTATTTACACATAGTTCAATAACTTCAAGAAATAATTGATTGCTTAAAATAATATCTTTTAATGTTACTAAATTATTTACAAAAATGTATCTCTGCAATGAAAGAGAAAGGACAGTTACTCCATGTGATAAAAAAAAAATAATGAATGAAATGATGTAAAATCATTCAAAGAAATGAACTTACTTTGTCACCTAACAATTTCATGTAAGCTTCTGTAGCTTTAGTTGCAAGAGAATTTCCTCTGAAAGTCAGATGAAGATCACCTAAAAATTAGAATATTTAAAGTAAAAATGGAGACACATACCAAATAAATACATAAAGGAAAATTATTAAGACGCAATACAGACTAAGAATCTTAAAATTGATATAACTAAATGCAAATACTTTTTAGAAGGTAATCAAAAATTACAAATATTTATTAAAATAAAATTATGTACATGTAATTTTTAAAAAAAAGTCCTTTAAACTAAATTAACCTGCACTTAGTTTTTAATTTTTTCACTAATAAAATCCTTCCATATATTTAAAAACTGAACTGAAAAACAGCTTCTTTCTTTCTGTCTGCGAAAACACTGATCATAGAGTTAAAATATCTCACTGGCAATTAAAACAAAAAATATATGATTATTTTTAGCTTTGAAATTTTCAAAAATTGTTTGTAAAGTAACTGCAGAAACAAATGAAATATATTAAAAATGAAACAAGAATAGCAAGCTATATCAATGTTTTATAGATTCAATCAAAAGTAACCAATAACCTTATTCAACTACTTTGCTTTTTGGGCAATACATGAGCAAATAATTTGGTGAAACTTGAGAAATTATGAAAAGATGATAATGGAGAACTATGAAATCATAGTTAAATTTTATGTTTATTGATAATACCGATTTTTTCTATGTCTGACATAACGAGTTCAGCAAGGAATTCTTTGGCCATATTTTCTTTCTGCATAACATTTATGAGGGTCGTAGCAACATCCTCCTGCAAAGAAAAGAAAAAAATTAACCACTAGAAATAAAGCGATTTTTGAAAATATTTTAGCTACCAAAATAACAAAAAGAGACATACCTTTGCTCTAACACTAATAACTGGCTCCAACATCTCACATAATGTCTTATATTCAGTCTTTATATACTGAAAAATCAAAAATTGAAAGCTGTTAGTTTAGCTTAAGAACAAAGTTTCTCACTCAAAGTTTACAAGAATTAAATTCTATTACTGATGCAAATAACAAGTGCATATTCGTCAGGCATATTTTTCAAAGTGTTTTTTAATAACAAAATCATAGAATAAGTGCAGAATCATAAAGTGCAGAATCGCCCACTTATTTGTTTGGCACCTTTTACAAGAGTAAGAATTGGAATTTTGTCAATTTTAATTTACTCTTTAAGTGAAAATAGGTCGATGTGTACACAGATAAAGTCAAGGGAGTGCTCATTGCCATTTTTGTGCAATTTTGGGATTTTTTTTAAAGTGAAAATAGGTCGATGTGTACATGGATACCGAGTATGTGCAATTCTTAAAAATGCGCCAAGAAGTGGATGATTTTGCACTTCCCCCAAAATTATAATGTAATATCTTCAAAAATTACATCTCATAAATTAGAATGTAAATTATGTTAATTACATCTTTTAAAAATGCATAGCTTTACTATTTTATGTAACTGAAAAATTTGCCTTCACTGTTTTCTAGCCCTTCTTTTCTCTAACTCAAAACACAAGCTACAATATAAGCAAGGAGGTTCAAGGTAAAAACTTTTGGTGTCATAAGCACTTGCACAGAATCTTTTTACATAGCTAGTCATACTATCAAGAAAGAATTGTTTATTATTACATGGCATGTGACATGCAACACTGTGTGGCAACAATAGTTATGCATTAAATAAGATATCAGTGCAAATATAGAACAGAAAATGATGAAACTTCCTGTGAAGAAAAGCATAAAAATAACTGATATAGACGACAGTATAGTTACAAGTAACTAAAGTTACATGATTCTTAGCTACAGTAAAATATCTAATTAATGCAAACAGGCATATGCAAACAGGCATATGAGTGCAAAGACAACTCAGGTGACATGCTTGGAATCGACCACGGTCATTTGTTTCCCAGAAGTTATGTTAAGTTAGTGGAGCTCCTAAACTTTAAAATTCAATAGACATTTTGTTAACTCGCAGAACAGATCTCTAAAAGTATCGCATTTCTAATAGTAACTAAGAAGACACTAACAACTACAATTTTCAGAAAGTTAATGGCAGAAAATTAAATAGCCCTCTAACTTCAACCAAAGAAAAAGATTTCAAGTGGCCAGTATTTTAGAGGAACATTTTCACAAGGCACAGCATTATTTTCTTGATTGGACATTAATTTGTAAAACATGGATGAATTTATTTCATCCTAGAATCAAAATATGTGTCAAAGCAGAGCAAGCATTCATGCTCAACAACTCCTAAAAAATTTCAAGCAATTGCACCTGTAGGCAAATTCTAGGCCATTTTCAGGACAGCTGTTTATCACTGAATCACATGGGTCCCAATCACCATGTGATTCAGTGATAAACAGCTAAAGCTAAATAAAGATTAACAAATACTGTCAATTTCTCAGAGATATTCTTGTGCTTACTTGACTTTAAAAAAATTCTGGATCTAATTTTACTCACTACAGATACCCATTTCTCAGATAATGACCTATATAACCTGCTACATAACTTTATGAGAACTTAACTATAATTTACTGCCACATCTTTTTTCCTTTCTGAACCTCAATGCAATTAATTTTTAAGTGCCCAGGCTTTAAAAAAAAATTAATAATGACAATGATGCAAACAGTCTATAATGGCATTTCCACACTGAGAAAGATCCAGAACCTACTAGGTTCTGGATCTGAGCAGCTGGTGTGGCCACACTGGGCATTAGTATTGTGGGGCAGCAAAACAGCACCAGAATTACAAGCCGCAAAAGTTGCACCTCACATCTAAAAGCCTAGAACTTGTCCTGCTTAGGTTGGTGGCATTTAAACACCAGTGAAAACATCGAGATAAGACCATTAGTGTAGGATTACTTAAAAATTGTTATTATTATTATTCAACATATTTGTCCTGTTCCATTACTCTGAAGAATAAAAAATATTGTTTTGGCTTTGAACTCCCTCTACCTCACAGTTTAGTACCTGATGTTGAATCAACTTTAATGCTATGCTACAAAATCCCTAATAGTTTTCAGAATAGGATTCGGGCATTTTAATATCAATAAGATGTGACTCATGATTGGTCCATACAGCCAACATGTTAAACTATATTTTAAAAAAAGTTCTGAAATTTCTACAATGCATTATAGCATAGACTTATCTGATGATAGTGCAACAACAAATGTATTCATGTAGAAAAATCATATTTAATTTTACCTGCAAGAGATCTTTGTACACAATAAGAGGTAGAACTTCAACAGTCTGGAAACGAGATTTGATTCTAATTGAAGGTGTATCTTTCCCACTAACCCCTTTTTCAGGAGTTACAGGATACCTATATTTCAAAGAAAATTATATGACTTAAAACTAATTGCAAACTAATTAAACTAAGTAAAATTACAAAAATATAAAAAGTCCAATAAAAATTGATAAATATTCTTTTGTAAATCAAGTTTGAATTTACATTTTTCTTTTGAGAAGAAAAGTAATCTCTTTTCATGTTAGTCACCAGTAAGCTGAACCACATACATTTTTTTAAGATTGTATTATTGTAGAAAAATATAGTATACTTTAGACAATTTTAAAACCTACTTACAAATAATAAATACACATAAAATATGCTTAAAATAATGATTCACATTAGATGTTCGACTTGCATTAAAAAATATTTTGAAACTGAACTCGTCCAGAATTTCAAATAAGATATTTAACTTTTTCGAATCAAGAGAGGACCAAATCTGTTTCCTTCAAACATCAAAATCGCCCATGTATATGAATTTCTCCTGGAATGGTCCTCCCCCCCCCCTGTCTAGTAAGTTGCTACAACATTAACAATAATCTACTTCAGTCAAATGACTGTTTCCTCACTTGGGTTTTCTTTTGCGGTTTCACCCATTGTGTGCAGTCTCCCATTAGGATAGGATTGCAACTGCGAGCATCAGATAGCTTTCTATATTTTTCCTCAGTATTTTTAATGATTTGAGTACTTTATATTTCTTAAAATAATTGGCTTTAAGAAGTGATAGCTTTAATTTGGAGGGGAAAAATTATATATACTTATGTGATCAATAAGTCTTTTAAAGGAAAGTGCAGTGTTTCTTACAATAAATGAACGTATATAAGGAGAACTGGTGTACATGAATTTATATTTATTTAAATTTAGTAACATTTTCTTTGATTCTTAAATAAAAGTGGAACAATATAGTAATTTTATATCTATTGTCACTGCAGGAAGAAAAAACGTATTTAGTGTAAATAGTTTATTTGATAAATGGTGGTTTGACAGAACTTAAATATTACCAGTTCTTTCACCCTGAAAATTAGAAATGTCTCATAATTCCATAATTTTATGCTACTAAATAAAAAAAAATTCATTCAGGAAGTTAATGTTGCTGAATAGAAATTTATATAAAAAAATGCTATAAAAATTGTATCTCTCCATTATCTTATTACTGAAATCCCTTCATGTAACTTGCATCCATTTACAGGATTAACAATAAGCATTTACTAACATTTTTGTTAATTTAAATATATTTTTATCAATGGTTTATGAATTAATGTAATCTTAGCAGGAAAGTAAGCTTTTACTTTCCTGCTAAGATTACATTAATTCATAAACCATTATATAAAAAAGTTTTACTTAGTAGGAAAGTAAACTTTTTTATATATTGAGAAACAACTATTAACCATACATATTTGTTTGTTTTAAAATTCCTGTTTCAAAAGAAATATATACTTTAACAGAGATATTATAAATAGTTTTAACATAAGTTATAGTTATGCATGAGCAGGAACACTCATAATTATTCAAACTAAAATAACCCTCAAACTTCCTTGAAATTTTGTGTAGGATCCAAAAAGATATAAAGCAAAGGACAGTTAAATGGGTTTTTCCCCCTTCACATACGTATATAGGAATATTTGAATAATATGTGAAATAAGGAAAATTTCCTTTTACATTTTCAGTAACTTTCGTACCAAAATCATACAATTTCTCTTTAAATACATTTAGGTTTAGACAGCAGACAAAAGCTTTCCTTTTACATTGCATGCTGATAGTAAGAGAGACTGGAATATCTATTCATCAGAGCATCCTTTGTAAAGGATCATCTTGCAGATTTCGTATTCCCATGAGCTTTGGATGGAACTTCTTGCTGATATTTTATTTCTCGGCTGCCAACATGTAACGCAAGTTCTTTTAGGTCCTTCAATTTTTCTTTGTTTATGAAAATGACTCAAAGTGGGTTCAAATGATGCTAAAGTGTGCTTTCTGTGTGAGTACACATTTGCTGATTTTTGTATGAATTCTAGCTTGAAATCCTACAAAGTTTTTGATCGTCTTTGATGAGGATAATTTGTAATAAGCTGAATTATATAGGCATTGTTGATGGTGATGTCCAAAAGAAACCAAAATGCATACATCCACCTTTGGACGATTTTTCTGTCAACTGTATCATACTGTTTACTGTAACTTTCTCCTGTATAATATTTATATCTCTTGGTTTGCCAGATATACTCCTCCCATGTATGTGTTATATATTGTGAATGTATACACATACTCCTCCCATGTATGTGTCGGAAAAAGTCTTCAGTTTTCTCTGCTCCTTTTTTTCTGTTCACATGACACAGCTTATTTGTTGTATTGGTTGATAGCATAAAAATTTGCTCTTTGTCTACTCAAGATGTGCATAACAAATTTCAAAAGTTTTGATTCTGAAAAGTCTTTCATTTGAGATTTCAATTTTAACGTTTTAATTTCAGTTGGCAAATGCTTTCTGTTCGGCATAACAGTTCCGCAAGCATAAATTCAGATTTCAATAAATCAACCATCAGCTGAATGCTGGTAAAAAATTGGTTAAAATAGAGTTCACGTTCCTTGTTTGTTAAGGATTTTACGAAATGTATGAGAACATCGTGCCCCAATTTTTTGCCTGACTTCATAATTTTATCTTTTTTCCCTCCATACACAGTATAACCCAAATGAGATGAGCATAACATCCAAATTTTAAGCCCGCACTTATCTGGTTTTCAATGCATATATTGTAGAATTCCTACATACCCTTTCAATTCTTAGCTTCATCAACCGCAAGATGTTAATGTGGCTCAAAACAATCTGTAAACTGCCCTTTTACCTGAGAAATAATAGGCTTTAATTTTTTCAAAAAATTTAAGTATTTATCATTTTCCTTTACCTCTTTTTCTGCATCAGAGATGTGAAAATAATGTTTAACTTTTAAAAATCTACCTCAACACATTAATTTCTTTACCACTTCGTCACCAAGTATAGGATTCTGGGACCAGTAATCATTCATTCTAGGTAAATGCAAAATACTCATTATATGTATAAAAAAGCACTTATAAAAGCTCATATATCATTTATGGAGAGTATAGGCTGCCAGCTTCCATCTTCAATACCATTATTTTTGTTTTCCTACAAATCTCTGCATTTTGCAGTACTTATTGGCACAAGTAATTTGAAATAATCTAAAGCAGATGCTAAAGCTAATCATGAGATGATCCAATTGAGGAAAAGAGAGATCCAAATTTCATGTCCTTGTTATTTATGTTGTTCCTACAGTCTGAGTCGAAGGTATCACATGAAAAGTCCAAATTTTCAATAATTTGTAAAACAGATTGTTCTAAATTATAACCGTATTCAATTTCATCATCCACATTATAAATCAAAATACATTTTACATGTTCATTATCTTCATCGGATTCAATAGAATCAGAGTTGTCGGTTTCTCCAAATATCGTATTTGACGGCATATAAGACGCACATATAGGCCACACACAAGGCAAAAAAGTTTCAATAGTCGATGCAACAGCGCGATACCACAATAACTTAAAAGGTGGTTTCTTTTAATTCTCACGTTTCATAAAAGCCAAATAAACAATCATTGAATGCAATTACCAAACATATTTTTATTAAGGAAAATTAACAAACGACAGGCTATTTTGAATATGATATGTAAATTTCAATAATGAATAAATGAATGAATGGCAAGCAATCAAACATAATACAAAATAAAGCAGAAACAACAAAAAACACAGATTCAAGGAAAACATTGCCTATCATGAAATTAGACTTTAATCACTTTCAAAACCAGTACCGATACCGACACGTGTGTCGGCTGAGTCAAAGAAAGTCTATGCAAAGAAGGAAAGGTTCCATAGACGTAATGTGACCGTAGAACCTATTCGAACTTCGACATCAGCTTCGAGCTTTGGCACTTTTGGGCGACAGATATTTCACGCATGCGCAAAATAATTATGGCAGATGTAGAAAAAGTTATGTGTGTCTAGACCTTTATCCGGGCTAAAAATAGCATTCAGTATTGAAAGTTAACCTGTGTCCTTCACATATAAGATGCAGGTAACTTTTTTGAGACCAAATTTAGGGAAAAAAGTGCGTCTTATATGTCGTCAAATACGGTAATAGGCATTTATTTCGTCTTGCATTAACATCTTGCATCTTCTGAACATTTTGAAATGAATCTACAGAATAAGAGCAAGATGCTTTCATTACCTGAGGAAGGAGTAAAATGAGCGATCTAGACACCAGTTATCTCTCCTGGGAGCATTGAGGCTAAACAAAGGAGAGCAATCATGCATTCAACTAAGAGAGCTATTTTAGTTGCTTCAAAAGAATAATTGGCATGGCATTTAACAACTCATGAAACCAATGAGCCATGCACTAATGTGATGGGGGATATGCACCAGAAAGAAAATAAACAAGGGATTCGAGCGACCTGCTGATGTCCGAATGTATGGGCGACTTATTGGGAAAGAGTTAAATAAATTATATCTGCAAAGAACCTGCTACTCTGGCTAATTTTAAAATACTTATGGGAAAAATTTTAAGAAATGAACAACATTAAATAACTATCTTTCCAAAAATAAATACTTACCACTTTTCTAATAAATGTTTCCCATTTATACTGGAAACAGGAATATGTACACTGCCTAGGAATAAAAAGTAAATGACATTAAAATCAAACACATTTCATTATCCCATATAGAATAAAAACACTATTAAAATTTTAAAAATTAATAAATATAAAATGAGTCATAAATAAACTTACCAATTAAAACATTTTTATCCCTTCTTTTCTTTTTGTCAGCTTCTCTATAGAGATTTACATAAATGCTTCCAACACTTGGTAGACTACTAAAATAAAAAATAGAACAAGGATTAATAACCACCTTTTCAAAATGAATTTTACTGACTTCTGATATACACTAATATTTTAGATTTATCCTTATGCAATGGATACAACATTCATTTGATTCGGTTACGACCAAAACACCCAACTTCCCTTAGTTTCACACACACACACACACACACACACACACACACACACACACACACACACACACACAACACACACACACACACAAACAAAAAAAAAAAAAAAAAAAAAAAAAAACAGTAAATTTACATAGTACAAATTTACATTTGTAAATAGATACATAGATACATTTGTAAACAGTCAAGAGACTAGGGTTTCAATGCTTTTTATCCCTCCCTCTCTCTTGGATAAAGTTCAGAATGGAGTAATATTTAAAAGAAATAAGGATAATTTGGAGCTAGATAAATCATAAAGCATGTGCATAATTTGTTTTTTCTGACATTTAAAAAAAAAAAAAAAAAATTTTTTTTTTTTACTTTCTCATGCATATAAAAAAGACATTGGATTGTAACACCGTAAACTTTAAATTTCAATTTAAGTATTTTAGATTTTAGATTTAAGTATTTTCAATTTAAGAATTTTTTAACAACTATGATACAACAGGCTAAGCTACAATAAAGATCATTTCAACCCTTTGAACTGTTAAGTTAAAAGTAAATATTAAAGAAAGTAAACAGTAGTTTGATAACTACAGGAATAAACATGGGATATATTTTATTAATAGACAAATTCCTTTCATGAATTAATAATAGTATGTTTAATAATACTAAATGCAATTCACTATGTAAAGAAAAAGCAAAATAAGATGTAAAGAATTTGATAATACATAAATGTCAATAATCTGCATTTCATATAAAAAGTATACTTTCATCTTTGCCAATATTTTACATAACATTACAGCCTACAAATGTCAATAAACAAATGTGATATTAGAAAGTTGGCAATTTAAAATGTTTCCAAAATGTTAGAAAATTATAAAATTCTTAACATGGAATCATTAGATTCTGCAGATTTTGATTTTGTGGAAACTATGAAATATGAATCTAAGCAAAAGCCAATGCAGAAATTGATAAAATTCTTTAAATTAGATATAAAATTTATCATTCTCATAATAAAGATAAAAATGAAAGCCATTATGAAATTAAACTTTTTTCCTCATTTTCTAATTTTTTTTTCAAAACTGTAAAAGATTAATTTCATTCACAAGAACCTCGCATGAAGCTGTCACCGAAATTCATTTCTGGAAAAAGATTCATAACTACTACTTAAAAAGCAGAATATGGATACACACACTTCCGAGATGAAAGTTTGGCAAAGAAATTTAGATTTAACTTAAACTGAATATCTGGACTGAATTTTATATACTACATTCAAAATACTTGCAATCTGTATAATGTAACATTCTCACACAGGTTCAATATAATGCATTATTTTTAATTAAAAATATTTCAGAACTGTTCGAGAATACAAAGACTTGCTTTAATATCTGGTATCGTATTATATATGATGATATGATTATTTTCTCATAGAAAGCAAAATTTCTGGGTTGCCTAAGTAGTTTACAAATACTTTTTTCCTTCAGGTAAGAAGGTAATTTATTTCAGGAAAAGTCCCCGTGCCTTAGAACAACTTTCTAAGAAGCACCAATCTGCATTCGTGTCACACTCAAGAAAATTATAAAAATGCATGTTTAATTACAGCATTCTGATTAGAATGCATAATGAAATTATCAGCTACTGAACAGCTTTTGAAATATCATTGAATGGGCATTTTACTACATACAATAAAGCAGAATGAAATAGGCTAATTTTATAGACATATATAAGAAATATAATTTTTAAATTTTAAATTTAATAAAAAAATAGGTATTCAGACAAGAAAATGAAATTAAAACTACTTCATAAAACTTTCTGCATATAGAACCTGGGCCCCAAAATAGGTTGAACTGGCTTTATATAAAATAAAACTAGTGAAACAGTAATTAGCACCATTTAATATTTGGGTATAAAATTTCCAAAAATTTATGTAATTGCTTCTCACAAGGAAATAATTACACACCATTGTTATAAAACATCTGGCAGAAAATTCAAATAAAGAAACAATAATTTAAAATATAGGGAATATGAGTCAAGAAAGAAAATATATGTTTGACTTAACTTGACAGTATTTTAGGCACAATAAAACACATTTATTAAAACTAAATAGTGAGAAAGTAGACAACTTACTTGAATTCAAAGTGTTCTCCCCAAAAACACATTTCACCTTTTTGTTTAGAAGATGTTCTTGCATACAAGGTTTTGTCCAAGCATAATTCACAATAATATTTACTATAAATGAAAAAGATGCTTCATGAATAATATAAAACTAAGGTACTTGCTCATTATATCGGCCCCCAAAATAATCGTTAATCAACCAAGATGTAACATGTAATGGGGTATAACATGGCGAGATAGCTTCTTTGATTAGCGATTCAATCTTGGGGGCCACTATAATAATGAAGTACCAAAACTAATTATCCATTAAAACAACAATGCAAGAAAAACTATTAAATCACCTCTTTTTTGCTGACATTCCTTTTGCTTCCAGAATCCATATACGTAGAGAATTTTCTTTCCGACGAACATTATCTTGATTTGGTTGAATTGTCCGTCTAAGACTGAGATACATGTCAGTTAATATCTGAGATCTATGCAATTTATACTCATACTGTTATTTAGATAGAAACTTCTAAAACAAAAATTCATAATAGAGATGTTTAATATACAACTACACAATACTTGATATGAACTATATTTCTTTTATTACTTTTATTTTTATTCAGTGTATTTAATCTGTATTAGCATTTCATTCATTTCACTTCCCCTTGCATTTATTATTTGAAACATATTGTGGCCAAATTTTCATTTAAGCTACTTGGATGTGGCAGAAGTTCTCATATTTAAAACACTTTCCAAGCATGTGATTTCACCTTACTTCTATTAGTTACATTCCAGCTTACTATTCTTTATTGCTGATGTATTTGATCTTTAGAAATCTGGTTTTTAAGTTTGTCCTCTTCTTTCATTCCCTCACTGTCCCTCTTGGGAACTGTGGTCAAAATTCATTCATGTGAAATACCCCTGTTGAAGGGTAACAGGGACAAATACATGATGCTCTGCATGATGTGTCCAGCTCAATTATCATCAAATATTAGTTCAATATCCGCCAGATATTGTAATGTTAATATTACTATGTATTACAATGGGAATGTATCTTTCTTTTAAAGAAATAATATTGTGATAATTACCAGTAATTTATCCACGACTGCTTTTTATGTTCTTACTGTAACCACATTCTTCAGAAATTATAATACTCGCATAATTTTCTCTTCATGAGTTCTGGACAATTAAATTAGTTAAATAAAAGGGGGATGTGAGGAAATACGGTATGTAAACACAAGATGCATTCATTTTCATTATATATATATACACACACACACACACATTTATTTCATACATAAGTTTGTTATGAGGAAGGTATATAACATTAGCTTTCATTAGAATTAAAACAGAATCTATTAACTCAGTCTAAAAATGATAAAATATTCTTTCAAAAAAAATCACTTTCACATAAAAAGAATATTTGCAGTTTCCTTCAATATTAGCATTTAGACTACTGTGACACTAAATGAAATATTGGTTTTCCATAAATAGTTTATGGATATAAAAAGAACCTTGTTTTAAGGAAAAAACTATGAATTTCGGAAAAAAAACTTTATCTTGTCTTCCTTGAGCAGTATTAAAAAAAATATACAGGTATTAGTGATGTTTAAGAGAATGAATTCAATCCATTTTTCATTAATTAGCTCATTCATCCTCTCTCCTCAAAGAAAAACGAAGTTAATAATTATAATTTACTTTTTATATTAAAAGATATTACATGTATTATTTTATTTAAATATAAAATTCTATTTCTTCCTTAATACTGATATAATGCTACGCCTAAATATGTACTAATGCTATGCCTAAATATGTACAAATGCTTGCAATAAATGATATTTACTACTTAATTTGAAGATAGTTAATTTAAATTTAGAAATTTTAACAGTTTCAAAAGCAAGATCCATGTGTAATGTTAATAAAGTATTACATTAAAAAAAATAATAGTAAATACCTATAAAGCCATTGATCACGCTCTTCTTTTGTACGGCACGTGTAAAAACGAGTGCCTCCATTTGAAATCATCTGGAAGCAGTTCTCTTGACCAATCAAACTACTGTGAAGAGCTGCAACTTGGACATCACCATGCGAAAGATCGAGAGTGGCCAAGACGCCAGGACTAGACTGGAGCAATGATTCATGAGACCTAGATGTCCGAAGCATTGACGGTGTAACGCTGCATAAAAGATATACCATATTTGTTTATTACAAAAATTAATCTTGGATATTTATTTCACATCAAAAATGAACCTTTCATTATATGCTACAATCTCAAAATCTATGTAATTTAAGATAAATTTTTGTGATTAAAAAAATTTATACCAAAGGAAATATTAGAGGTAGTACTGGATTTTAAATTGACTTGGGTAATCTTTGGAATATGGTAACAGGTAGTTTGGCGACATTTTGGTAAGCCAATAAAGGTTACTGGCTAGGACTTTAGCAGTGTACATGGATAAAATCAAGAGTGTGCGCAATGCCATTTGTGTGCAATTTTAAAAACGCGGCAAGTACTTTGCGATTCTGCACTTTCTCCCAATTTCGCACCTAATCTTCATCATGATTACGCATTTTTGTTCCATAAAAGTTCTAATATAAGCAGATTGTTGGAAAAAATGTTGAGTAAAAAAAAAAAGCCTTTACTTTGTGAAAACAAAATGGCGTACTACTAGCAGGTTGGTCGCCAAATTTTCGCCAAAAAATCCGCAAGTTACCATAATCCGAAGATTAACCATTGACTCATATAATTTTTACAACTGGCAACATTTTGTAAAATACAGGATGTAGTAATAAAGTGGTAGAATTTAATTGATACACACTGGGTCATCATAAACACTTTATAAAATAATTTATATCTACTATTCTTACTTAAGATACATTTTTGTGATTAAAAATACATACCAAAAGAAATACACTCTGTTGCAAAAAAATCAAAGCAACAAAAAGGACTTTTGCAATTGTGGCTAAATTTGGTATGCAAAAGCATCTTGATCAAACATGAAAATGATCAAAGTTTCAAGGCAAATGAACAGGAATTGCGATCATAGCACTGCGCAATTCGCAAAGAATAAAACTGGTAACAGAGTAGAAAATTTATCTTTTTGTTGCTGCCATTGAAATTCTGTAAAGAAACAACTAAAGATGCCATTATGACAAAATCGAAGACACTAAAGACAACTAAACGACTTCTAACATGGTCGCATGAAGATGGGTTGTCATACGTAGCAATAGGCTGCCACCTGCAGCGTGCAGACACTGCTGTGCAAAGATGTTGGCAGCAATGGTTGCTGCAAGGAAATTGCCGACAAAATCAAGGCTCTAGAAGGCCAAGAAGCACAAATGCGAGGCAAGATAGGATGATTGTCAGCCAGGCCTGAACCGCCCCAACAGTATATTTGTCGACTATTCAACGCACTAAAGCCACATCTATACCTCCTGTGGTACCATCCACCATCTCAGGGCGCTTGTCTGATGCGGGCTTAAGCTGACAGAAGCCTTTAAGACGTTTGCTTATGACCCCCACAACATGGGTGGAGTCGTCAACATGGGTGGAATCGTCTGGTGTTACAGTCGATCATCATGGCTGCCATCAGACTGGCATCATATGGTGTTCAGAGACGAATCCCACTTCACTCTTGAAGCAGATGTTCATCTTGTTCATGTCTGGAAAGGACAGGGCCAGCGGTCCAATCAGCTTTTCTTTTACAAAGGCATACAGCCATAACCCCTGGTGTGATGGTGTGGGATGTTATTTCTTATGACAGAAGATCATCTTTAGTCATCCTCCGTACATCTTTAACAGCTCAACAAGATCTTGATACCATCCTGTGGCTGGTTGCATTATTACCCTTCATGGCACGTCATCCTAGGGCCATTTTCCAACAAGATAATGCCAAGCCACATACCGCTCACATATCTCTGGAATGTCTCCGTGCGGTTGATACTCTTCCTTGGCCAGCAAGGTCACAAGACCTTTCACCAATGGAGCATGTCTGGGACATGGTTGGCCACCAGAATCTGGCACCAGAAAATATCGCAGATCTGGAGCGACAACTGATGAATGCCTGGCAGAATGTGTCGCAGGATGACAATAGGAACCTCCACCACTCTTTGCCTTGACGAATTCAAGCATGTGTTGCCGCCAGGGGCGGTTCGAAAAGCTACTAATTTGAACAATCAATGGGTGATTGTGAGCCGTGAACAGGTACTATGGACCTTTTTTATCATTTTATTATCTGTATATGAGCTATACACATATTCAGTTTCATTAAAAACAACCACTTCTTTCGTGGGGCTACGATTGTTTTGCAAAAGAGTGTATTATAGGAAGTACTGTAAAAAAGATTTTAAATTGACTCATTTTTAAAACTGACACCAAATTTTGTAAAATACAGAAATTAGTAATAAGTGGTATAATTTAGTTGATACACACTGTTCCTTATAAACACTTCTTAAAATAATTTATATCTTCTATTTCTACATTAAGTTTGGTCGAATGTTTGAATGATAGTATTTATTTACATATCACAAATGTCTGCATATGTATATTATTACAACTTTTTTGACAGCTCAGTACTGGTTACAAAAGAACAAAAAATATTATGTAACAGACAAATCTTAAAGTGAGTAGTTTTATCCATTTTTACTACTATTATACTAAATATTTTGTTAAAGTTCACGGTTCTTAACAACAACAACAAAACAAAACAAAAAAAAGTATGATTCAGCACATGAAGTTGTAAGTAAATATTATTTTCACCATTGTAACAAACTGATTGTTAAATTATTTGAAACTCAGTATCAGTAGTAATACAAATGACAACGTCTAAATTTTGGCTGTACAACAATAATGTGAAATTAAAAGCACAGAAACAGAATATTAAATTACAGTTCTAATGAGAAATTTTTATTTTACAATGCAAGATAAAAAATATTCCCTTAAATAATAATAAAAATATATATTTAGAACTATTTGTCAGTGTACCCAATTAATGCAAATATTGAAACATATAATTCCAATCCATTGCTACAATTCTTAATACTAGACAAATTATACATTTCTAAACTATGCTAAATTGACAAAACAGACAAACTTCAGCTATGCCTTTTGACAAACTTCCACTTGAAGCCTAAGTTTGTTAAAAGGCATAGCAGAAGTTTGTCTGCTATGCCAAACAAATTTCAGCTAAGCCTTTTAAATTGGCTAAAATGGTACAGAAATATCTAAACTGTATTATTCTATAGGAAAAGAATGAAAATTACCTGTCGCCATCTATGGTACATCGTTTACGCTCAAGTTTTGTCACACTCTTAGTACGCTTTAAAGGATTGCTTTTGAAGGAGCGCTTTGAGAAGAAATTCTGCAATGGAAAATAAAGAAGTTTTCTTTAATAGCTTCTTATGATAATGACGAATTATTTAATGTATATTATTATGATTGAACTATTTAATGTATTATTAATGTATTGTATTATGAATTATTTGATGTAAATTTATGATAATGATGAATGATTTAATATATAATTATATTTACACAATTTCTTGATATTTTATGTGTATTACTACTGAATTATCCTCGAAGTTTGTTTTTAAAAGTATTCTTACACTAAGATACAACAAGCATTACATATGAACATTGTTACACCCAACACAAAAACTAACATTTCTTGAAAACTAACTTTTTAACAAGACATTTGACACTATAAATAACCATAAACTACAAAAATATGTCAGTCAAACTCCTCATGATCAAGGTAAAGAATTAGGACAAAACTTCAAGTGATTTATCCAAGATCTATATTTATGATCAAATAAATGCTCACACAGAAAACATTTTTTTATAAAAATTGTTGATGAAGTCCACTTTTTACAACATTAAAAAATATTATATAATCACTGAAATCCATTGCACAGTGATATGCCATTGCAATGTAGTTTTGTTTAAAATCAACTGAATAAATACTTACCACAACTTCCTAGGAACAAATCACGGAGGTAAGAAGTAAAATGGAGTAGCCCTAAACAAGTTTCTCCTGTACCCTGCTCTGAAGCACCTGCGATCCCTATGTGGTGACCAAAACATTGGGTCATTTACCATCGAGTTCAATGGAATTTGACCCGTTCGAATGTAAATATTTTGTAAATTTTCTTTTTCTACAACACTTCAGAACCCTAAGTATATGAAAACAACATATTTTTAATTAACATTTCATTCTGAACCGAATTAAATGCTATACTTTTCACAGGACAGTTTTCTCAGAATGGTTTAATTTGAATGAAATATTTTCACAAGTTTTCGTTAATTACATTCGAAAAAAAAAATTAAGGTAATTCGATTTTATTCGGTAAAGATACAAAAATTAAGATCAAAGTTTATTGTATTATTAACATTAAAATTATGCATTATTTCTTTTCTATTTATAGAGCTTCTTCCTAAAATACTTTCTTAGATATGACATGATTTTTTGACTTCTGAGGCACCTTTTAAATCGAAAAATGTAAGTCAATTTATAATTAATGCTCTATTCGGTTCATTTTAAATTAGAGAATTATTAGGAATTAGCATAATACTTTAAATAGTACTTGACTTTCTCTGAACATTTCTGAAAGGGAATAAAATAAGTTTTTTTTTAAAGTATTATTTAAAACTTGTAACTGAGTTATTATAAAATGTAAGGGGAAAAATTCTTTTAATTATACTTACCAGATTTTTTTTACCCTTTTTCAACAATACATATTCCAAAACTCTTTATTGCGTTCTTATGTGCACATCTCATAGCATTTGCTTTACAATACCTTTTAACAGATTGCTTTCCAATACGAACAATTCTTGCTTAAATAGTTTTATAACGTATTTGTCAACAGGATTTCAATTTATGTTTACAGTTCAATATTAAGGTTATTATATATTTAGATAACATTTATAATCATTATAAATTAGATACATTTAATAATTAGGTTTCTTCACAGTACTTTCACAGTTGTTTATAAGTGAATAAATTCTTCATTTCAAATACATTTATAAATAATTTAATGAATATTTATGTATTTTGTCAAAGGCAGATACATGCTTTTTCCAAGCACATGCATAAATACCCATACATATTTCCTATTTTTCATTTACGGCATGTGCAAATCTTTAATTTCTGTGCATTCACTATATTTTTCGTGTCAAGTAATTTACACTAATTCAGCATACACCCGAAAGTTTTACATAAAAAATATATATGAATATAATTTGAATGAAAATTATATGCATCATTTTTAATACCCACTCAAAGGTCAGTTTTTCTTAAAAATTCCTCCACGATGGCATCTCTCTCTTTAGGCAGATAGCCCTCGCATGCATTACTCTATTTAATAAAAACTTAATCTGACCTATGTGCCTAATTACAAATATTTTAACATACATAATTTTATATTCACATTTAGCCATCAAGTTTCAAACTTTTCAAATCTTCTAGAAAATAAATTTTGGCAGAGCACTCAGTATCTCTTTCAGCAATTTTACACAGTTTAATAATTCTTTGATTATATAATATATAATAACTATCCAATTCACATAATTAACCGTATTGTCATCAGATTGCAATCTTGATTGCCTTACTCTGCATAATAGCTTCATTTTTTTAAAAGTTAAAACAACTAATTGATGTGAAAAAAAATTGTTTTATTTAAAACATTTTGGCGTATGGAAAGTAAAATAAAAGTAGCTAATACTCTATTGAGGGTATCGAAAGACGTATACAATTTTAAATGCACCGTAAGGTATTTTTCATTCTTTAAGCATAACATTTTTCTTAAAATCTATATTTTTGTAGTTCAACAGCTTAGAATTTTATAAAACAAATTCATAATCAAAATCGCTGTTGTTAGTTATCAAAAAATAACCAAGATGTGATTTTTGCGTAAATGTCACTAAACTATACAAATGCTATTTATTATCCATCACACTATGAATGTTTCTTTCATGCGAAAGTATCCCTTTTTCGATTTGTATGGAACTGTCGTGTGTCGAAATACTATCAGAACCCTGTCAAGCAAGCTTCTGAATGTAAACAAAGAACACCCCATCTGGTGACCCAAGCTTCAAAGCAGTGCTTCACTTCTAGTGCCGGCTGGCCCCTCCTTCCTTTACTACCTCCATAGAAAAAATATAATTAAGCATAATAATATCTAAGAAATGGTATGCTTTTTTTTTTTTAATTGACAAAGTTTATGAGAAAAACACTGAAAATGGAAAAAATGTCAAACACATCAACCTGCACAATTTTTTTACAATATTTCAAAACACAGATAATTACAATATTCTGAATGCCCATTTTTAATAAGTTGTTTCCTAAAATTTAATACTTTACATAAAAATTAGCAAAGAGCTAATATCAGCCAGAATAATTTTTTAAAAAAATTAATAAATAATGCTTATCACTCTTTCCCACAAAAATTTTAAAAATACATAAGACAAATTCATTACTTGCACTACAAGTATTTTTTAAACAGCAACTTTAAATTATTTTTTAAAAGCTAAAAAATGAAAATCTCGGTCATTTCCCATTACTATGTGGACGCTGTATTAAATCGGTGGTTCAAATCGAATAGATTTACTAAATTCTGAAAATTTAAAATAACTAATGAGAAGAAATTAATTAATTTGATAAAGAAGCTCAACTGCACGTTTAATCAAAAATGCTAAATAGTCAATAATAGTAAAAAAAAAACAACTGCACGTTTAATCAAAAATGCTAAATAGTCAGTAATAGTAATATACAATAATGTGACAATGATTTGATATCACATTCACTTTCAAATACAATTGATAATGAGTATAATCGAGATCTAAAGTATATATATTTGAAAGACTAGGTCTAAGATCAAATTACAGGTATGCAAATTACTTGCCTGTGTTCTCCGAACTGCTTTACGGAAAATAAATAACAACTTCATCGTTCGTGTTAAAAAATTATGAAACCTTAGGGTGATTAAAATCCATCATGTGCCTTGTTTATATTTATAAAACAGTATCTATAAAATAAGACCTTAATGTTTATCAAATAATACAGACACATATGGTAAGTAAAGTAGCATTGCAGATAAAAGTTTCAACAAGAAACGTCTGCAAAACTACAGACTCGATTAGAGCCCACGTGTGGTAGAACACTGATCGCTTATGGCAGCTAAGTGATTGGTCGAAAGAAGTTAACCAATAATTAAAAGGGAAAGGACACACTAGATAAAACAGGTGCGAAATCATTATCGCACGTTTTGATCGCAAGTAAAAAAAAAAAAAAAAAAAAAAAAAAAAAAAAAAAAATTCTTTTCTTTTCTTTATATAAGAATATGGGTTAAAAAAATCGAAATCATTCAATGTATTAACGGTTCCATGGTTATATAAACTGATGCGTGCACAAAAATATTTAAACTATACGTGCCTTCATTGAAATTAGTATATATAAAAATTTTATTCAGAGAAATACATTTTTCATCGAATGCATACAGAATACATATATAGGAATATATGTGTCTGAAAAATGTTTGAAGCTCTACCATTTCCTAGCAACCTCCTCTCAAAACTTCAGAAGAAACACACGGGGAGGAATCCATAAATTTAAACCGATTTCAAATCAGAAAGCTAAAACTAAAGTTCAGTTTACTCAAAAAATTATACCAACATATTTTTCTTAAAACATTATTAGCCCAAAGGGACAATTTGCCCAGAAGGGCTATTAATTTTGTCTTGGCATTTTGCGTTGATTCACTATAAATGGCGAATCATTTCAAATTGTTCCCACCAAATATTAGAGTTTCCTATTAAAGAAATTAAATAATGAAGAATCTGCATAAATGCATGTTTGTTTCTCGCATTGTGATAAAACAAGAGCCATCAAATTTTGAATAAGGTATGTCTGCACTCAAATATAGACATCTATATTTGAGTGCAGATTAATAAATTGATAATATTATATTTCAATTCCGAAGAAAATTTGGTGCTACAAAAAGTCATTTATCCTCATTAATGGGACATTTTATTGAGACTGCAAGCCTCTATTTTCGTTTCTCAATATTGTAAAAATTGTGCATAAAGTAAAAATGAATTTCTTTTACACTCATTTAAAGTTTTATGATGCTTAAAAGAATTATGAGCCAGATCCTTTTTATTCTCTGTAAGAATTAAAAACTTTTTAAGTTAAGTTATAAATATATATATATATATATATAAATCAAATGTTGTATGATCTTAAATTCACTTAGTTTGAAAATTATTGTTCTATTAATTATATTTCATTGAACAGATTTATTAATTATTGTTCACTGAACGGGAGTTGGTTTGTTCCCCTTGAAAAGTCAACTAATTTCTGATCAA